GCCATCTCACCAGCCCACCATCAACAGATTTTGATTTGAGTTCATCAATGCCTTTCTCTAATCCTGTACACCTGGACTTCACCTTCTGTAACAGCGTCATCCGTGGCTCAGTGATCCTGACAAGATCTTCCTTGGACAGTTCCCACCTTGGCTGTTACAGTGCCAGGGTGGCGGCATGGCCACCTGTTTTAAGCAGAGTCCTCCATCCCTGCAGCACAGCCACCACAGACACCATCCCTGTGCTTCTGTCCCTATTTTTTTCTTTTCTATGAAATACCTATATAGAAGTTTTGCCCATTTTTCTTTTTACTTGGAAAAACATCTACATATTCAGGGTATAAACATAAGTAAACCTCTTGGTCTGTCATTTAATTTTTATCAAATTTATAAAATCTTTTTTTCTTGGGTCACTTGTATTTTTCTTCTGTAGCTCAAAATTAAAACACCTTTTTTTTTTTTTCTTTTCTTTTTGGCAGAACTGGAGATTAAACCAGGCCCTTGCACTTGCCAGGAAAGTGCTTATTCTACTGAGCCATCTCCCCAGCCCCAAAATACTTTATCAAAAAAGAAAAAAGAAAACACTTTCTCATTTAGTTTTCTCTAAATCAAAGCTTTGGGCATAGAAGTGTTTGATGATCCTGTAAGACACTGAGGAAAATGGGTGGGGACGAATTGCTGCAGAGCCCCTGCTGCAAGCTGCCCTGAAGCTTGTGAATACAACCAGGGTCAGGGACAGGGAGAGGGAAAGAAAGAGGGAGGCAAAGCACAGGCCTGGGGATGCTGAGGCTGGGGAAGTTACTTATGGCCCCTCTGCGGCCCAGGGCTGCACCCTGAATGGGTCCCCCTGAGCCCCACTCAGGTTCATCCACCCACTACCCAGATTGAGTACAGATGCCCTGCATGACTGGGGCGTGGCTTTCACTTCACAGCTTGGCACAGCTAGGAAAATGAGTTTGCAAGCCAAACTAGTAAGATTTGATGAGTACAACCATTCTGAAAGAAAAACAACATAATCAAATACAGATTCTGAGAGCAGTACAAATATTAGAACTGACTGACCAAGAATTTTAAAATAATTATTAACCATATGTTAAGAGAAAAGTATGCAAACATGCAGGATATACAGGACACACTGAAATAGTGAGCATGTTACAAATATGTTTGAATATATAATAATTATTAGTCGCAGGGGAAATAAAAAGAGCAGTGTAGTGGGAAAGGTAGCAGATGCCTGTAACCCCAGCAGTAGCATATTATTCAGGGATATAGGAGAGAATGACAAGCTGCCATAAATGAAGTAACAGAGTTCTGCAGTAAAGATACAGAACTAATGTAAAATCTCACAGAACTATCAAACAAGCCAGATCTTGGAAACAACCAAAATGCCTGTCACATGTGGAATGGTTGAAAAAGATGTGGTACTTTTATATAATGGAGTACTA